GTCCTTATGCTCGCAAGATGGCTGCCTCAGCTTCCAGTACCACTCTGTTCCATGAAGTACCCTGAGTACAAAGCAAAGGGCTCCATAGAGCTTTCTTTTCCTATTATTTACTGTTCAGAGCGGGAAATTTTACCCAAATGCTCCAGCTGAATATTCTGACCATCTTGGACAGAAATTGTTACATTATCTACTTCTAGGCCAATTACAGGTGAAATGGAAAAGGTTCTTTGATTGGCTTAGGCCAATTAGACTTTGTCCTCTGGGAGTTTGAGCATACTCTGTCTGAAAAAAAAAAGGAAAAAGAAAAAAAAAATCAGGTTTCTCTCAGCTAAAAGAAAGGGAGAACTTGCTTTAGGCTGGGAAGCCATAGCAACAGATAGTACAGTTACTTTCCTTAGAATTGTAAAGGAGGATTAGTAATTAGGAAGTAAAGAAGGAAAGGGGATTTGTCACAGGGTGGAAAAGACCGTCAAAGCTGAGCTTGTAATAAGCACATTGTGAAAAGAGAATGTTTCAATGAAGTTCTGTGGGCCTTCATTATAAAAGGCATATGATTAATGACACTGCATTTCATTAAATTTGTGACTTGTATTTGTTGCATAACACATCACTAATAAATAACATCTGACGGATTAATATTGCTGTTCTCCATCAATATTTTCATGATGTCGTTTCACCAGAATTAACTGTTGCCAGGAGAAAAATCAACCTTAAACCCTTCATTGCTCATGAAGTAAAATGGCTTAATCAGCTCATCCTGGAACAGATAAAAAAGAATCTGGAATCACCATTTAAAATCCTGACGAAGCATTCGACTTCTGACATTCTGAAAAGGAGAAGCAGCTGGGTTCGACTTCTCTTTGTCTTATTCCAGGGATGGGTGTAGATGTATTGTACCAGATGCCAAGCAGGTGCCCCCATATGGAGTCTGCTCAAATGCTTCTCTGACCTCAAGACATTTCTTACCTGACCTGTCTCTTTCCTGCCATTCAAAGTTTACATCCCAGTAGTTTCAGGGTTATATGCTGCAAAGTATAATACACAAATACATAAATATTTATGGGCCATAAATATTTCGCCCTATAGTTCCATATATATATTAAATGGCCTGGAGGCAATAATTGCATCTCAGTAGCTACATTGCTGTTCTGTCCTAGTGAATGTCATTTTGGCTAGGAAAGGGTTAGGGTCCACTGATAGAAATGATCTTTATTTTTGGAAGTGACATGTGGCAGAAGAGCAGAGTGGGAACTGACCTCTATCAAGTCAAATACCGTGGGCTTCTTGGAATTTCACACAGCTTGGTGGCCAATTTCCAAGAACAAGCTTCCCCCCAGAGCAAGGAAATGGAAGCTGCCAGTTTTTTAAGGCCTAGAACTAGGCATTAGCAAGATGTCACTTCTGTTTATCTTGTTAAACAATCAGAGAGCATACATTCAAAGGGCAAGGGACTGGGACATAGATTCTACTTCTTGATGTGAGGAATAGCAAAGAATTTGGAGGTCACATTTTAAAACCATCATGTCATCCTGAATGTCATTTCCACAGAGAGGCTTTGTCTGGCTGTATCCTCTTAAAAAGCCCTGTCTGCTCTCCAGTATCATCATCTAGTTCAGTGTCTGTTTGACTATCTTCATAACGCCATTACCTGTACTTTCTCTGTGAATGCATATATCGAATCACATAATTTTAATTTTACTGCCTGTCCAATATGACATTTCTAGGAGAGCAGGAATGTTAGGGATCCAGTTCACAGCTCTGTCCCAGCATAGCTTGGGCGGGACTCAATGAACACTGTTTGGTCCACAATGTACATCTGTTGAATAGATGAAATTTTTGTTTGAAACTCCTCCAACCTCTCAAAACAGATGTATCTAGTACTCACCCCACACTTGTCCCTCAGCCTTATTTTAAAGTCTGGGATTCCCATTAATAGGGCCACTCCCAGATCTGAGAATCCAGCTTATTATCACAGCCATGCCCGGTAAAGCTGCTATTTTAAACTACCTAGAATTAAGAAAAATGTGGCTGATCTTTATGGAAAGGCACCCAATACTCAGTCACACAGATTCCCAGCTCTGACATGAAAAAATTAGATCAGGAAATAGCTAAGGAAGGCAAGCATCCTGAGGTGCAGAAAAGAAAATGTCTCCGTGTATTTGTTACTTCCCATGGTTATAGAGGTATTGGGAAGCAAACAGCAGTGCAATGGTAATTTTGAGAAAATGGGCTGAGTGACTTATTGCCTGTTGGTTCCGAGCTTGCAAATCTGTTTTCCAAAGTGTAGCTGGGATAAAGCAACAGAATAATGTACAGCTTTTTACCTGCTCCCAAGTCTTTTATCGGGTCCCAGGAGGGGCCAGCTGAATGAGGAGAGGAGGAAGGAAGCACACACACTAGCTTCTGTCTAGGTTGCAGGCAAGGAAGCTGAGGTAGATATTTATTAGTCTTCAATTTGCATCTTAAATTAGTGATGCCTCGCCATTAATGAGGGCAGACCTCACTATGATTGTGCATCTCTATTTCTTTTTGGAGGAAAATAAAGTCAATTAAAATCAGTGCATTTAGGAGGGGAAGCAATTCACACAATCTTTTATTAGCAACACAATGGTGTTGTTTTCCTTTGTTACCAAGACAGCAATTAACAGGTTTCTAATGGCACAAAGGTGGGTGACAAGTAAAACAGGCTATTAGGAAGGGGGCTGCTTTCAGGCTTCTAAGCAGAGTAGGAGACTTGAAGGATTTAAAAATAAAGTAAAATATATGCTCTATGCCAGGGGTCTTCTCACAGGAAATTGTAGACCTGCTCTTAGGCACCAGTCTTACATTGAAATATTTAAAGAATATTGTTTTCCTAGTAAATCTGAAGTATTGAAATAAACTCTCAAGTCATTTCTAGAAAATAAGGAGTGGATGTAGAAGACAGGATTGCTGTCAGATTTCAACTGGGAGTTTTCGTGGTTATTTTTATGTGTTGCATATTTAAATATTTAGAATTAATTCTATTTATGTATTATACAATTGTTTTGTGCTTGGTTTGCAAAAGTAATACTTTTGGGTTCAGGAGAGAATTAAAAGACATGCTCGGTGACATTTTCTTCAAGAAGTTTCTGTGAAACTGAAGAAAGGGGAAAAATCAAAGAAATAAACGTGATCAAGATCAGTGAGAAAAACAGAATAAGACCCCAGGTCTTCCAATAAACAGTAGTTGAGCAGGGAAAATGCCCAGTACAGACACCTAATATATCAAAACAGAACTCTTCATCTTTCCTTTCACCCTAAAATTGTTTTTTTCTTAACTCCCCTAATCCTCTCCAAAAAAATGTCACTGTCTTCTGGTTTACCAGACTGGAATATGCTACTGCAGATTCTATTTCCTTGTCTTTGTTTTTCCTGTCTTCTCCTAAGGTTAGACTTTTAAATGTATCATTTATTTCTGTTTTTATTTCTTACATTCATCCTTTTTTATTGTTGCTCTTAATTTTTTGCATTTCCAGTTTGTAGTTCATTCTTGGTTTAGTTCTGGGTTACTGAATTCATATAGAAATCCAGAATGGAATGTACACCAGTCTGGGAGTAATGGGTTGAAATTCAGGAGAAAGGTCAAGGTTTTCCGGAAATCCAAATTTGAAACCCACTTGTAGAAATTCACAGTGATTTAATGACTGAACTGGATGGAGGTGGTCAGAGGTTCAAGGACCCATTTTTGAAGATAACTGGAGCAGGAAAAAGAGCCAGAGGAGGCTTGTTCTGAAAGGGAGGGAAATAGCACAGTAAATGCTGCAACTGGAAAGCAAGGAAAACCTGCCTTCGAGGTCTTGCAATGATCATGATGAAGTCTTCACGTCAAATACCATTAAGAGGTTCAAGAAGGATAGAAAATGACAGCATCTGATTGAATTTGACCTCAAAGAGAGGACTTTTCAGATTTAGTAGAGTCTTCAGAAACTGACTGGAATAGGCACAAGCATGAAGTATGGGGCAGAAGTTGGAAATTAAACAATGGGAGTTAATGTCTTTAAAGTGAACCCAAAAGCTGCTCAAGTTAGAGTATTTTTTTAAGATTAATTTTTATTTATTTATTTATTTATGCATGCAAAACTGGGGTACAGGCCAGAGGTGCAGGGGTGAGTAGATTCACCAGAGATAGAGTAGGGAGCAGAACAGGCAGATTTACTGAAATATACTGTTGAGGGGAGCAACAGAGAATGGTTCTATGTGCCCTATGGGTAAGCTCCCTGGCCGGGGATCTAATTCAGGCCTTCAAGGTGATAGCTCTGAGACTTAACACGTGTGCCACCAGGGAGACCCCCAGATCATATGTACTTCTGCTGTTGTCTTGGTCTGGGTTTCTCCCCTCCCCTGCCAACACAGAGGAAAGGGCTTGAGTGCATGTAGTTTATTGTGGACAGTGGCCCCAAGGAATAGGAATAGGATCCAGGAAAAGTGAAATAGAGAAGATGAGAAAGCAATAAGAGAATGTATTATAGAGTCCATGAGGCTGAAGCTGTTTATGCTTCAGGGCCTGGAGGTGAAGTAAATGTTAAGCTAGTTCCCCACTGTTTCTAGGGAGAAACAGAGTTTCTCCACAGAGTTTCATCCAGTTTTTCTGAAACTCTTGCATCAGTGCTGTTGTGTCAATGCTGTTGTGTCAGTGCTCTTGGCTGGAATACTGTCCTTACCCTGATAAGCTTAACTCCTCAATACTCCTAGAGCCGCCTATTTCCCCATCTCCTCCCCCCTCAAAATTCAAGGGGTATTTTTCATTGTGCTCAACTGGAAAGGGAGTGCCTCTGCTTCTACAGATCACGCTGTTATTTCTTCTAATCCCATCCCTGTCATTGCATTTAGGTCTTTGGAGAACAAAACCACGATGTCATTCAGGCCACATCTTCTTACTTCTCATCTAAGCCAACCATCCACCCCCCACACGCAAATACACACACATACAAAGTCAATGAGGTTGGACAAATACTCCCCTCTTTCTTTCTCCTAGGCTAATCGGAGATGCTAGTGCCTTGTTCTTCATGAAGTGGTGTCAGGATGGAGCCTGCCAACCTGATAACATGCAATAGACTTCCCTCTCTTTCCATCTTACTCTGGGGATACTTGAATGAGAGATGGCATAGAGGTAAGTAAATGGTCATAAATGAGTATGATTATACTCATGAGTTGATTATATTCAACTCTTAATGTCTTCAAGTGAATGCTTGAATAGGAAAAAGGAGAGAAAACCACAATATTTTCAAATGCCAACTGGCCCCCAATTTTTATTTTCCTCCTTAGCTAGATTCTAATAAATTATGCATTTCCTGAGATAAGGCACTAGATTCTCCGAATAGGTGATCTTCCTACATTGCCTCATATGATGCTGGGCATCTGGTGACCACCGCAATACTTGTGCTGCCCATGTTACTGACTGAACTATTGAGCACTCAGAGGGATAGAGATTTAACAGTCTCAGTTTTAAATATTTACTGTAGTCATCAATCACCTTAATGTCGCATATGTAAGGGTTTGTTAGATAATATCTAGCCACAAAAATGAATAGCAGATTGCCTGTGTGTGAGAAAATTGTCTGCTCTGCCACTGGGCTTAAACACTCTTTTCGTTCAGAACTCAGAGGAGGAAGTAAGAGTCACACATTAGTGTTGTGTTGTGAACTTTCTTAACTTTTCCAGTCCCTCAAAGGGATGTACCTACTTTAATAACTCCAGCTTCTCAGCTCACCCCAATCGACCTACTGTACACTCACTAATGGAAGCCCTTGAACTTGGCTTCTTCACAGGCATACCTTGGGAGGTTCTATTGTATGATCAGTTTAGCTGTTTATGCATTCAGTGCTTTCCCACTGTCTTCATCAAAAACTCCTGATCATTTAATATGTTCTTACAGATTAAGATGCTAGGACACACATGCACACACGCACACGCACACACACACACACCATTCTGGGTGACTTCTTTTTATTCTCCCAAGGTTAAGATTGCTTGGAATATCTCTCTAATTTAAACTGTGTTATCCATCATTTCATACATTTGTGTGAACAATTTTGGTACATTATAACTGGACCAGACTGACTGTTGTTGGTTATTTCTACTTTGTCTTTATTTCTAGAGATCAGTGTCACTGGAATGGACATTGAGTAATGATTTAGTCCACCTCTGTTTCCATTTGGACAGCAAGGAAATCACTCACATAACTGTGCATTTTTAGTAACAAGGAAATTGTTACTAAAAAATATTTCCAAGAAATCTAAACTCTAGATAGACATTGAGAAAGAATTCTATATGAAAAGGGTCTTTCATACCATTTTTTTTTTTCCAACAGACCCTACTAATAGTCTTAGGTAAAGGTTCTATGGGCTGTTATAGGGAACAGGATGGGGAGAAAAGAAGCAGTCTATTTCCTTCTGTATCTGCTGAAGAGATAGAAAACAAATAGGAGCAAAAATTAGTTATTTTATTTTCTAAGGGCACTTCTAGTTCCCAATACATTATCTAGGGGCTTTGTATTAGGTTGTGATAATAAAGTTGTTGACCTAATGTTTTTCTCCATTCTTCTTTTATACATCCCCTGGGGCAAGGAGGTATACCTACCTTTTTTGTGTTTTTACCAAAGGCAGGAGGGTCTTATTCTGGCTTCACTTCTAGGTATCCTACTGGGAGAGAGTTTCTAGTAAAGTGATATTCAGACTCTTTGAGGGGATGGGAATGGAATAGGCAAAAAATACCTTCCCTTTGGAAATCTCTAACATTATCATGTTACATATAACACATAGTATCTTCTAATATAACTTTGGATGTAGTCCCCAGCTAGTACCCTCAATTCTGTATTCATGCTTGGTTTATTTGGGTTTAGCTTTGTCAGGTATTTATTCTGTTTCTCTGTATTACACTTATGAGTGTAATTATCTGGTGTGTGTCTTTCTCCTGACTTATTTTACTTAGCATAATCCCTCAAGTTCTATACTGTTGTCACAAATAGCGGGAGTTCATCTTTTCTGAAAAATAACTGAATAACATGCTATTGTGTGTCTATATACCCTATTTTCATCCACTTTTGATACCTCTTTTTTCAAGTAATTTTTATTTCTCATATCTCTCAATTCTCTGGAAGAATGGAATACCTATATTCAAAGTAGTTCAGTTATAAGATATGTCAATACATAAAGTACTATTTAATTTGGTTTTGTTCCCCATGGTGTTCCTAAGAGAGGCATCAAGACTACAGCAGCAAAAAGGAACCTTTCTCCACTGTGGGTGGGAATGTAGACATCATGCCCTGCTATTTTTATTGTTTCCCTCGGTCTAGGGTGCTCTCACTGGACCCAGTAGACTTGACTTTATGTAGGGAGAAGATCCTTAAATCCTGGTATAGCAGGACTTAAATATCCAACAATAAAGGAGGAGCTTTGGGAGAATGAGGGTCAGCAGCTTGACCTTGGTGATGACATTTCTCATCGAGGGACTCAGCCGTGCACCATTATCAGTTACAGGTCCTCAAGCATAGGAGAATGAATGCTTTGCTCCTGCTGGTTTTCTGTGATGCACTTGGCACCTATTAAAACCCATGTTGCTGCAGACACCAAGTGCTCTTCCCTGACCCCCTTCCATAAGAAATCTACCCAAACAGTGTATGTGGTGAATACATTGAATAATTCAAGTAGGTTTTGGAGGTGGGAGAGGTCTAATTCCGTTCCTTTTTTCTGCACTTGCCCAGTTCTGTTCTTTTCTCCCAATATCAGAATCTTGCTTCCTTATTTCTGTTTTGAAAAGCAGAATCTGGCTGTTTATCACCCAGAAGCCAAACACTAGGCCTGAAAAGGGGTAGAGTTTGAGAGTTTGTCCTTTGTCTAGCAATCCTGTCCAGCCAGTCCCTCCAACACTGGGCTTTCCTTTTTTTCACTGTCCAACACAACTGCTCTTTCAGGTAATTGAAGTAGGCTCTTCCTTTGGACCTAGCACATAGATCACTGCAACAGATTTTCCCCAGCATACCTCTAGCCATGCATCCCTCAGGACAAGGAGTCTGTAGGCCAACGGAGGCATGACCCAGAGCCCCCAAACCCTTTGCATTTGAATGTTTGTGAGTTCCCAATGCTCCTGTGACAAGTTACCGAAAACATAGGGGCTTATAGGACTCACATTTTTATCTTACAGCTGCAGAGGTCTGAAATGCTCTCTCCAGACTAAACCAAGATGTCAGGGCTGTGTTCCTTTCTCAAGGCTCTAGGGGAAGATTTGTTCTCTTGCTTTCCAGCTTGGAGAGAGTACAGCATGGGAACACTCCCTGGCTCTTTATTTAGTTATTTATTTTTAATTTAAAGTTATTTATTTATTGCATCAGTCTTTATTTTATACATTTTTTTTTTTATCTCAGTTGTAATCTCCGTGGACGTCCCACCACCATCACCATAGTCTGGTGCACTCGCCCCACCCCAGTTTTGATCTCTTCCCCTCCTACCCTCTAGAATGTTTCTGGTTCACATTGTCCTCCCCACTCTTCCACATTTAAAAGACCCTTGTGCTTACATTGGACCAATTTGGATAATCCAGACTAATCCCTTTAGCTTAAGGTCAGTTGATTAGCGACCTTCATTTCATCTTCAACCTTAATTCCCTTTTTGTCAAATACCATAACCTATTCACAGGGGTGGGGATTAGGGGCTGTCATCCTTGAAAAGCCTTTCTTCTACCTGCTACACCAGGACTTAAGGATCTTCTCCCTAAGTAGAGCCAAGTCTTTGGTCCAGTGAGAGCACTCTAGGCCCAAGTTGGGAGGAGGGGAGTGGGGGAGAGGGGCAGAGGCAAAGGACAGGTGTTGGGGGTATCTTTACACACATAAGATAGAGTGTAAGCATGCTTGCACCAAAGACTCCAGATAGTGTGGGATGGAAAACATTGACAGGAAATGAGCAAGCCACCAGTCCCAGCTGGGAAGCCACTATCTGTGCTGCTGCTCTGGTCCTCATGTTAGGGACTGGTCTATACCCTAAAAGGAAAAAGGGGATATTGTGTCTTAATTTTCTGGCTAAAGAATGTTAATTGATATTTAAATCCAAATTCTACTAGTTTGTTGATGTTTGAGGGAAATTAGATCTTTCTGATATTTGTGCATTTTATATTTTTTATAAGGTTGACTTTATTAGGACAAAATCAGGAATAAATAAAATGAATAAACAATTCACTTTACTGGACCTTATCTTTATACATACAAGCTTACTATCAAATAGAGTATTAATTTATAATTTTATTGCATACAGGATGACCTACATTCTGGAAAAAAGAGAGAGGTACACTGTGACTATCTAGTTATCCTGAAAATTTGAGTTCTAATGAAAAACAAAACCTGCCAAACTCTGATTGATGCTGCTAGAATATTTCCAATAAACACATGTCCATAGCAAGCCAGTGTGTTTATTCTTTTTAGCTACAAACCCTGGTAACCGACATCAGTGATTTTCCATCTTGCCAGCCTGAAAAGCCATAAAATGAATTTCTCAAAAGTAACAAGTATCCCAGTAGCCAAAGCGTATGAACTAAAGGGATTTGGTACTTAATGACCAGAAGAATAGGGGACACCAGGTTTAAGCTTCTGTATCTTATGTCTCCAAGAAGTAGATGTCTATATTATTCTGAAAGTTACAGGTTTGTTTCTCGGCTCTGTGAGGTTTTTGTTTGTTTGTTTGTTTTAATCCCGGAGACTGTATTGCTTTGTTCTTTGTAACTGTGCAGAATCAGATGAGGGCAGTCGACAAGCTTGAATGTTCACCTTTCTAATCTTTGCTTCATTTCATTAGTTTTTTTTTTTTTTCCTCCTTATTGTTTTTGAGGAGGTCAAACATTCTCAGAGTAAAATCTTAACCTTTGGACTCTCATTCCTAATTTATGAACTGTTGAGGAAGTGCTTGTTCCTTCAGTTTTCTTGGGACACTTAAAATAAAACACTTCTGGCAACTGATATCGTATGACAAATTGAGCTGTAGTCTTGGAGCATTTTCCTGGGAGTGGCCTTGAAGCAGGTCTCAGGCAATATCCAAGAGGCTAGCAGCTGGCTGATTAATTGAAAAAAAAAAAAATCATTAAAGCAGGGGGTCATAAAAAATGATTCATACACACCTTAAACATTTTTATTTTAACTTAAAACATATAAATTGACATTCATTTGCCAATCTGTGATGTAAAACTAAAGTCTTTTCTCTTAATTGGTATTATGTGTTGTCTCTCTTCATAACTCATACTCTTAATGATTCCCCTAAGATTTTCAGCTTCAGATTCTTTACATTCGAGCAGGAATTAAATTGACTTTGTAAAGCAGTCTGATTGAATATCTTCCCCGACTGTCATGTACAATTTCTCCCCAAGCCCTTTACAGTTTTCTTAACCACACCTAATTCAACAGTTGGTATACATTTTTATTGACTTGCTTTTATCAAGCCATTCAGGAGAATTCAACTTAATTTTCCATGCAGTCCTCATTGAGTGTTCATTTTTCATCAGTTGCATACATTGAATTTACATAAGATTATTTTGCTCCCACAAATACTCTAACAATGATAACTTTAATATATGTGGTAATCAGTTCACGGTAAGCATTGGTAAGTTATCCAGTCAGAGTAGACATGCATTAGTTTATTAGAGAGAAGCCTTTGAATGAAAGACATGGATGTTTGAGACACTTTGGCACATGTTTCCTGTACCCCATCTTGGGTTCCTTGGCTCATTCGACAGCCCCCATATCTTTGACCTCTTCCTCCCTCGAGTGCCATGTCTCTCGAGTCATGAGGTACGTCTGGAAGGAAATGTCAGGGAGCTGGCCTCCCAGGAGCTACCCTCAGTGAATGAGATTCCTAAGTGAGAGGAGCCAGTGGATGAACAATTGTTATTTTTTGTGCCCCAGTGAGAGGAATTGGCTCTGTCCCCCAGGTGCTGTCTGTTAATAGCCCCTTCATTGTCTCTCTTTTTCTGGCTTCCCTTCTCAGTTCCTTCCAGGGCCTTTCTATTATCTCTTTCCTAATCAACACTGTGCACCCAAATTCTTGACGTTTGGTCCTCTTTTGAGGGAATCTAAAAACAAGGCAAGTGCCAATCAATATGTGAAGTGAGGAAATTGATCTCGTGAGTGGATTAAATGGAAACTACATAAGAATCTTCTACTGTTTGGGGGGAAATCTAATTTGGTCTCTCCCTCCTTAAACTATTAAGCAATTTCTACCCTTATTCATTGATTTACTTATTGCCCACATGGTGCTTCATTTCAACTAACATGCACCTCCCTTGTTGTAAATTCCAGAAAGATAAAACTTTGGGAATTTATCACAAGCTTCTGGGTGGGACAGGAGTTTAATTGGCATTTTCTTTCTGTTCTCCTAGTTCGTCTGTTTAATTCTCCATTTGCCTCGAACTGTATGCCTGATGGCATCCTGGGATTCTGGCATCATCTGCACCCCAGTTTCTGTTTCCCATGGTGAGTCCTACTTCTCCTTTAATCTATCTGTGTTTTTTTTTTTTTTTTTCCTCTGATAGATCCCCTCTTAGCTGAAATACTGCTTGAACTTACAACAGGGAACTTTGGTCCCACTTCCAGCTCCTCTTTTTCCTGGGCCTTGGCTGCCTCTTCACTACCCCAGGGCCATGGCCTCAGCCCTTCTCCCAACTCTGGTGTTTCTACTGTACGCGTTCATGGCCGCTTTTCTGTAACACTTACCTTCCTACCACTTAAACCCATTTAAATGTTTTTCTTCAAAGATGCACAATATTGAATTAATGCTGTTTCAGAAACGGAACAAAACTATTGTGCTCTCTCTCCTCTGTTCTTAAGAACAAGTGTTTGGATTGTAAAGTGATTGAACCACACTCTATTCTCTCTTATTAATGGAAAATTGGCCATAAATTGCCGAGGCGTGACTAGCTCATTTCCCAACACAGCTGCAAATGCTTTATGCTGGGATCATTTTCTATTTCTCAGAAAGAAAGGAGAGAACTCTATGGAACTGACACCCCTTGGAATAGTCCTGGGTGTCACATACTCCCTATAGAGAAAGACTGTTCTGAAGAGACAACTGATTGAAGGTAGCGCTGCCTTCCGTCAGGCTGTTCCCTTGCAGTGCTTGTCTTTATTTTCTTATGAATATGGTGAATCAACTTCAAACTTTGGGAAGGCAGGCATTAAAGATTTTTTTTGCCCTTTTTAAAAACCAATCTAAAATACATATATACCTAGGAAATGTTTTGTGTTTAATACAGAAAATTCACAGTAACAGCTTATTTTAATTTTGAAAATACATTCAATTTTACCAGTCATCTTCAACCCATAAATTATCTATTTTAATGTTCAAGTAATCTGATAAAATATTTATCATATGCCCACTTTGTAGATGAAGTTAAATCTGTTCCAAAAGATATAGTATTGTGTGTCCACTGTATTGAGAGGAAACTTGAGCTCTGTCTTCTCACATCACATCTGGTATCCCAAGAGGTCACCATTTTTTCTCCTGGGACCAGCTCTGCTTTTGGGAAACTATGTCTTCCCTGATTTCAAGTGAGTATCACAAAGTGACTACTAAATTATGTGCTTTGTTGACATTTCTGTCACGGGATTAGCAATCCCTGCTACAGAGGAGAGGCTAGTCAGTTCTCAGGTGATAAAATTCATAGCTCTCAGTATCAGATCCCCAGTTTCACAAGAAAGCCAGTCCTGTCCATGGACTGAAGTTGATTTTGGAAGGGAAGAAGTTGATTTTGAAAGTGTCAGATTTGCAAGTGGTCAGCATGTGACCAGGCTTCTGTGCCCACACAGATTTCTTGTGGTGTTACTACAGTCACTCCTCTAAGCCTGTGAACGTGACTCTGTCACTTTTACTCAAGACACAGATTTTCCCAGTATGTTAGCTTATGGGAGCCTCACAAAAACCCATGGGTTAGGCACCACAGTTATGACCACATCCATGTTGGCGCCGAATGAATTAAGATTCTGTTCCTTGCTGCAGAAATACAAATTAGTAGGCTACCAAGCTTAGATTAGAATTCCCCTCACTTTTTTATACAATCCCATACTTTTCTTACCATATTGTGTATCTACTGCCCAAGGGCAGAGAAGATTAAAAAGCAAGTTCTAACACTTGGTTAGGTTAATTTTCTATTTCTCTTGAAATTAAAAAAAAAGTTCAGATGTCCCCACTAAGATTAATAACTACTTCTTCTTTCAGTTTACTTTATCCCCCCAAAAATGCTTTATACTTTACTCATTGATTATCTATTACTGAGTATCAGTTTGACCTAAGGACTAATGCATGTTGGAGATTCTAATCATGCGTCAGATTGATACCCTGAAGGAGTCTGTAGCTTTCAAAAAAGTCTGTAATGTTGCATTTCATTTCAGTAGCAGATTGGTGCCCATCATTTATCTGGGGGTGACCCCTTTTCTCTGGCAGCTTTGAGTGCTGCCCCCTTTCCTGAGAGATTTGCCTTCAGCTTTTAAAAATGCACCATCCAGAAGTGTCAGTAGGTTGTGCTCTTCCCTTAAAGCAACCCTCAGCCAGGGACAGAATGATCCTGGTGTCATTCACATGTTAGAACTTCCCGTGAGGTCAAGCTGAAACTAGACCCTGCATGAAACTATGTATTTACTTATCATCTTTCCCTGTCCTGTCCTGCATTTCTCACTTGCTGACAGGCTCCTCCCGAGAACACTCCGTCACTTGCTGAGAATCCACCTCATGCTCTCCTAGGGAGCCCCACTCAAGACATTATGTTCCTGGCATTTTACTCCCTTATTTTCATTCCACATCCACTTCAGGTTTTTCCTTTTAGCTTGCTCTTGCACCCACCTACTCATGTATTTGCTCACTCTGTTGCTAAACTGGTAGAGTAAGAACAGTATGGAGGTTTCTGGACTTCGTGTCAAATCTATCTGCTCCATATACCATGGACTGACTCAACTGGCTAAGTAATAGGTCTGAAGAGTGAGGATGTCCAGCACTTCCCAGAGTAGCATCACAGCAACTGTACAAATTTTAAAGTAGAACAAAAAATTTTGAGGATGAAAAGTTTAGTTTTTTCCTTTACACAATCAAATTATATGGAAGAGCAGCTTTTAGGATCTGTAGAATAAGGTCAAAATTCATGATTTTCATTTGACATGAAGTGAAGGCAGAGCCTGGAGATTTGTCTGTGGCCCTCTCTCTTGCCTATGGGGCATGAGACTCATGGGGTCCTGCGCTAAGCAGTGGCAGTGTGGGGTGGCTCACATCCATGGCCACCATGTGTCGAGTTAGAAGCGCATCCCAGAATCTTTATTCTGTGGAAAAATACAGAGGAAGCTGGAAAGCTGTGTCAAAAGTGGTAGCTTATCTAAAAGGTGAGGGTCACCAAGTGAGAAGTGAGCCAGCCACAGGTTAAGAAGAGAGAAGGCATTAGGGTCCAGGGGAGAGCTCAGTAAGTCCAAAATGGGGTGCTGAATGACATCTTCTTTTATGTATTCCAGAAAGAGTTCGGTTGGCAAATGTGACTGAAGGGGACTGTTATCTATTGAGAGCATATTGTATTATGAGACGAGCACAAGTGACTAACATCCAACACTCCTGTAGAGTATGTACCAGTATTGTCTCCTTTTATAGCTGAGGAAAACAGAATCACTCAGGTGGCTTGTCTGAGTTCACACAGCTAGCAGAGGAAGAGAGTTAGCACTTAGACCCATTTGTCTGATTCGGAATCATTCATTATGTGCCTCCTATGCCGGCACTTTTCCTGCTCTAAAACCTCACTGTCCTCTGACAAAGAGGTGCTTTCTCCACTTAACTGAAATGGAAACCTAAGACTCACTAACGTCACTGATATAACCCAGCTAACTTTAGAGCTATTTTTTTCCCTCCAAATATGATTGTTAAGTTAATATCATAAGGTCTGAACACCTGTTATATAAAGAGTGTAAAAAGTTATTTCCTTTGCAAAGTGCCAAGCTGAGCTTCTTTTTGCAGATTCTCCATTTTCCCCTTTTCTAGGTTTTGAAAGCTGCTTTCTAGTGATTGTGTAGCAGGAACCAGTAATCGTGCCCAGGTCCAAGGCTTGATGGCAATCCTGACTTGGCAATATTTGTCATGGTTTCTTTTGGATATTACTTTTCCCACTCAGAGGACAGACATTCTTATATATGTTCTTCATGGGCTCCTGTTTCTTCATTGATTGATTGCCATCTTTTGATCTTATTCATAGTTAAAGTAAAACTACCACATCCCTTCTGATTCCCAGAAAACCTCCCATGACCAGTGTCCTTGAAGATATTTTCTTCATTACTACTCACAGCAGAAGGTCAAGTAAAGATCACTTACTGGAAAAACCACTCTCCAATCCCACCATATTTCAGTGGGTTTAATACCCTAACTTTCTATGCATGCTGTGTATGCCAATGTACGTCAATATATTATCCACCTATACATACATGTAGTATATTATTTTATACTAGAAAAATTTCCTTGGTAATCTCCATGGGTTCAGTCTTCTTATGTTATAGATTAGGAAGTCACAGCAAAGAATTGTGACTTTGTCAACTGTCACCCAAATACATGGTAGAAAAATAGGACCCAGAGCCCATTATCATCATGAATAGTTCTTCTCACCATGCTGCTGTCACTCAGAAATGCCAGGGTAAATCATAATAGTTACGATGACATATTTTCAGTCATGTAGGTTGGTGTGGAGGATGTGTTAGGGCTGCTTTCCTGGAGGTGATTCTACAATAAGGTTTGAGTGAAGGTGATTCCTTTAAAATGATCTCATGAGAGAAAACAGTGAGGGTATAAAAGGAGCAGGTCAAGGAAGAAGGAACCAAGCAAAGATGTGATTCCAAAAGTTTCCAGCCTAAGGCTGATCGCCTGGAGACCTCAGGAGAGAAAATTGCACTGCTGAGACTACTCCTCTTGTCCCTCACCTCCCTGGGCTTTAGTGATCCTGTGTTAGCCACTAGCTTTGGTTTTCCTCAGGAAATAAACTTCTTATTTTGTGCCTAAGGTCTCTCCCATATCCCAAGAGAAGACCTCTGAAGGAAGCTTCAAGTACCAGATGTTAGAAGTAAAGAATGCACGAGGCTGGGGTTAGGCATTTGGCTGATCACCGCTCAGTGCACACAACAGAGAATAAGTTCATGGAAACAGAAGGGATTCTGGGTCTTCTGGCTCTTGTGCAGCACTTCTCCCCCATGCTCCACTGGTGCCCCCTTCCACCTTCACCTATTAGTAGCACTTCCCATCTCCACCCATCATTCTCTACTCCATCACCCTATTTTATTTTCTTAGGTGTGCTCATTACTTCCTGAATTTATTTGTTTAGAAGTTTAAGATCTCTGCTCATCAGAAACTCCACAAAGCCTATCTTTCTTTTTGCCATTTTATCTTCAGTCGTAGAAGAGAGGCAGAGAGTGGGTATTTAGTGTCTATTTGTTGAATAGTAATGAATGGATAAATAAAAATA